GTGTGCCTTCAAGTCATTGACTTATGCCAACCCAAACGTGAACCTATCAGGGGGTTTCCTTGGTAAACTTCATTCATAGGTGGTTTGCCATTGCTTGAGGCCAAGAGGTTGTGACTCGCCCAAGGTCACTCAATAGGTTTCCATGGCTGAGAGGGAATTTGAACTCGGGTCTCCTGGAGTTCTCAGCCAACACTCAAACCACCATACCATGCTGACTCTCTTCCAGGTCTGTCAAGTTTTGGTTTCTCATTTTTCTAGTCTTAGGTTTGGTTCATCCTGAACCCTGAGTGCATCTGCACTGTAGAAATAATGCAGTTTGACACCGCTTTAATTGCCATGGCTCCATCCTACACAGTCTTGGGATTTGTAGTTTGGTGGGGCATCAGCACATTTTGGAAGAGGCAGCCCCAAGATTATAGAATGGCCTTCCAGAAAAAATTCATCAAATGGACACACTCTCTGAGTTTAAAAGGGCACAAAAGACCAGTCTCTTCTGGCAGATTTATCCAGATGTTTTTTAAATTACACGTTTTAAAGTATGTAGTGATTGTTTCAACATGTATTGGTTTCACACACTCTTTTAATTGGTGTTATGTGTTTAATTTGTTGTCATTCTCTGCCTCAATCCATAGGGAGAGGTGTCTAAGAGATAAATATTCTTATTGTTGCTGTTATTATCATGGCTCAGTTGGGGATAATTTTAACACATTGCCATACTCCTTCTTTCTAAAAGTAATTTTCTAAGCTCTAAGGTGAAGAATACAGGTTGAGTTTCCCTTATTTGAAATGCTTGGGATCAGAGATGTTTCAGATTATGGAGTTTTTTGGATTTTGGAATATTTGTAGAGACATAAAGAGATATCTTGGAGATGGGACCCAAGTCTAAGCATGAAATTCTTTTATATTTCACATACACCTTACACACATAGCCCGAAGGTAATTATATGCATGCTGTTTTTAATAATTTGGTGCATGAAACAAAGTCTGTGTATGTTGGACCATCAAAAAAACAACAACAAAGGTGTCACTCTCTGAGCCATCCATGCGGACCATTTTGGATATTGGAATATTTTGGATTTTGGAATTCTGGATATGGCAGACTCAACCTGTATGTGGGAAGAAGAGAATTTATTTTTATTGTTGTGCTATTCAAATACTTTTTCAGGAGTTACAGCAGTGGCTGCCAGGAAAGGATAGATGGCCTGAATGGCAGACCATCTTCCTGCCATTGCTGACTACAGATTTGAGGATGCCCTGGGCAAAAGGAACTTCCCATAGGCCTCCTCATCTATCCATCTATCCAGCCATCCATCCATGGTACTGGTGTTAGTACCACTGAAATTTCCCCCAATGCAAAGCAATATCAAGAACTTGGGAAGTTAAAAAGGTTACTATAGCAGCCATCTGTGGACAGGGATTGTAGTTTAGGGAGATACACAAGGTACACAACAAATAATAATAATATTGTCTATAATATTGTTATCTATAATAAATAAAAGGAGATGAATAGAGTGAGGTTGTTTGCTCTTTACTACTCTGGCTGCACTACTTTAATTCATATAATTGGTGCAGCAAATAACACACAGCACCATGGCATTCCTAGATGCATTGCAGGGCTGTATCATTTGTCTAATATTTGGGCACACTCAGAGGCCAAGAAAATGTTCATAGCTGCAGTCAGCTACTGTAGGGATGGCTTTTTACACTGCAAACATGGGGGCTTGGGCACGTGCCATCTGGAACAGGAGGCCAGCAGGAGGCAAAGGATGAAAGGATGAAGGTGTCATGTTTAGCTGGGTGCCGTCAAGTGTGCCAATGTGTCGGACTAGCTGAGAGCCCTGGGATTTAAGACTGACTTAGAATGAGCCCGGAGACCCTAAAGTCTAAAGGGCTCCAAGTGTGAGACTTGGTGGCAATCACAACCGACCAACAAGGATTTGAATTCTGCCCCCCCTTAACTATGCACAGTAGCCGACTGTGACAACACACGGATTTATGATCCTGTGCAAGATGTGCAAACACGCACGGAAACACACCAAGAACCATTTCTCCTTGCCAAACTTTCTTGCTCAGAAGAAGACACTTTGTTCCGGATGGAAATGATTTCTCTTGGCTGGTATGAAAGTTGCTGCTGGGATGAGAAAGAACCAGAGCTTGGGAAAGTTCCCCTTTTCTGTGGATTTCAACTCCCAGAATCCCCTAGCCAGGTTCAGTTCCCTGCTCAAGCATGGAAACTCACTGTATGACCCTGGGCAAGTCACATTCTCTCGCCCTCAGAGGAAGGCCATGGCGAACCTGAAGAAATCTGGCCAAGAAAACTCTATGAGACCATACGTTGCCATAAGTTGGTATCAACTTGAAGTTGCATAACAGCAACCTGAGATATGGCTCATCCACAGCCATGGGATTGGGAAAAGAAGCACATTATTTGCTGCCATAGTGTGTCTTGCAGGGGAGACGGGGGAAATAAGTCTTCCTCGGCCCTCGTTCATCCATTTCAAGATGCCCTGTTCCTATTTTTAGACTGTAGCTGTGCAAACAATTTATCCAGATGTACAATCAATGGGGTGAAAAAGACAAAATGACAGATAGAGAAGGGCTATATGTTGGCCCATGTTTTCTCAGAGGACGCAGGGAGAGAAAACACACACATATTTGGCTGATGTTCGAGTCGGCCCCTTTCCCAGCGGAGAGATAAAAAGTGACAGAGAAGGAGAGAAGAAAGATTGCGAATGCAGATCTTCCCAAGTTGATTGGGAGTCCTCTCTCTGGACTTGGAAGGGAAATGGGAGACATATTTTAAAAATAGAGTCATTCTGGAGCGTCTCCAGCAACCTAATCCATCAAACAGTAAATTAAAAACAATAACTCTCTGCCCCAGCTGCCTAAATAAGAACAGAAAGAAGTCCTGACCCACATAAATTGTGTTTGTTTGTGGCCCCACAAGCAAACTCCTCCTCTCCGTGGGTGAATGGAAAGGGTCTGAAGGAATTGTCTTGACTTCCTCCTGATGAAAGAAGCAGAAGCCTTTTGGGAGCTGCATCCAAGCTCTATTACATTTGTATCGTGAAATTGTAAGCCTCTTTCCTTTTCTTGCACTCTCGAGTAAGCACAGTGGAGATTGTAACCAGCACACAGAACCGTACCAAGAGTACGCATCGTATGAGCCTCCAGATGCTGTTGGGAGACACCTCCCAGCATTTCTCACCATTGGCAATGTTGTTGGCTTGGGCTTCTGGGAGCCACGTCTGGTATGAACTTTAGATGACATGATTGTCCTCTTTAGGAGCGAGCCCCTTAGGGAGCTGGGCATGTTCATCCTGGGGAAGAGAAGGTTAAGAGGTGACATGATAGCCCTGCTTAAATATTTGAAGGGATGTCCTATTGAGGAGGGAGAAAGCTTGTTTTCTGCTACTCCAGAGACTAGGATCCAGAGCAATGGATGCAAACTACAGGAAAAGAGATTTCACCTGAACATTAGGAAGGATTTCTTGACAGTACGTCAACATGCTACTATCACATTCCCTTCCTTTCCCCTCCCTACAACACTCACACAACATACACCAGGGTCTGAGGAAATCCAAGGCGTCTCTCAGCTTTGGCGGGACGGCAGCTGCAGCGCAGCCAGGCATGCCCTGTTAACCACAACTTCCTTATCGTAATCATCATAAGCATCATTTTTGGAAAAAATAACACCAAGCAAGGGATGTGCTTCTGATGAAGGGGCAACTCGGTTGCCCTCCTCTCATCAAAGAAATTGGAGAGAGGCCATACTCCCTTCATCGCAGCAACAGCAGGAGAGAATGATAAGCCACAGCAAGAGCAGAACGGAAAAATCTGTCTCCCCACGATGGGAGATAAGTGGAGAGGGAGATAAGCACGCTGCAAACTTTGCCAGCCAAACACAGCCCAGAATTTATACTATAGGCTTTTCAGGTACACTGCCCACTATTGTGGGTACTTTTGTGCCATGCCACTCTGTTGACCATCACCCAGGGCAGAATTTAGCCATTTGGATGGAGGTGGCTGGGTACCTTCAAATCATTTCCGACTTATGGTGACCCTAAGGTGGACCTAGGGCCAAAATGCCTGGAAGGCACCAGATCCCTTCTGATCTTGGAAGCTAAACTTGGTCAGCCCTGGTTAGTACTTGGATGGGAATCCATCAACAAATACCAGGCACTGTGGAGTATATTCCAGAGGAAGGAACTGGCAAAACCACTTCTGAATATTCCTTGCTTTAAAATCCCTGTGAAAACCCATGGGGTTGCCATAAGTCAATAGGTGTCTCAAAGACACATGCATACATAAGGTGAACCTATTACGCAGTTTTCTTGGTAAGATTTGTTCCGATGAGGCTTGCCATTGCCATGTTCTGAGGCTGAGACAGTACTGAAGGCACACAATACACACGGCTGAGAGAGTATGCCTTGCTCAAGGCCACCCAGTTGGTTTCCATAGCTGAACACAGATTTGAACCTTTGTCTCCTGGCGTCTTAGTCTAATACTCCAACCACTACACCATGTTGGGTCTTAAGCTTTCTTCTAAGGGGGTTTCCCACTGCCTCCCTCTGAAACTGAGAGAGTGTGACTTGCCCGAAGTCATCCAATAGGTTTCCATGGCTGCACAGGGATCTGAACCCTGGTCTCCAAGAATCCTAGTCTAACACTGAAACAACTTCACCATACAGGCTTTCCTAGAGTCCTTTGTGATAATCTTACCCCCACAGTTACATTCCTAGTACAAACATTTTCCTTGAAACCCACCCTGTTTTACTCTGGTCTTCTCTGCATATAAGGTGGCAGATCAGACTGCAGATGGCTGGACATTTATACATTTTCTTGGTTGTTGTGGTTGTGTGCCTTCAAGTCATTGCAATGGTGCAAAGGCAAACCTATCGTGGGGTTTTCTTGGCCCAATTTGTTCAGAAGGAGTTTGCCGTTGCCCTCCCCTGAGGCTGAGAAAATGTGACTTGCTCAAGGTCAGCAAGTGGGTTTCATGGCCAAGCCAGGAATCGAACCCTGGTCTCCAGAGTTCTTCTAGTCCAACACTCAAACCACTGCACCACTCTGGCTCAAGACATTTATGAATTGATTTATATCTTGCTCACAAAGCTTAATCAAAGCCCCAAATGTGAAAGCTCCTTTTTGCCACCACCAAGTGCTCTAACTCCTCATCTTCACCATGGTCCTAAAGGCCATAGTTCCCCTTGTCTTTCTTGCATGCTAATATATTGACTGAAGACACCCCTCACCTGCCCCCTTTTCCCTCACCACTTCCCGGGATCTTTCCATTGCCCCCAATGGGGGCAAATTGCCCATTCCTACTGTCCAGATTTGGCTGGGACAATCCCAATGAATCCTCTGCCATCCCACTTTATGAGCTGCCTTTAAAATGTCCCAGTTTCTCCTTCCTCCTCCTGCTTTCCCACTCTATCCTCAGCTTCCTTCAATTGCTGCAAGATGAGTTCAGAGAACAAGAGTAGCTTGCATTCACTTAACTTAGCAGGGGGAGAGGAAAGGAGGGGTAGGATTTTGCCCTCCCCAGTAGATTCAAGCAAAAGCAAACTGCTGCAGACTCTCCTATGGGGGCATACGACCCCATTTGGAAATCACTAGTTTAGAGGAACTTTAGCATTCGGAGACATAGCTACGGAGAGGTAGCTACGTGATACAGTTACGTCTCCCAATGCAAAACCTAAGCCGCAATTTTCACAATGCAGTGCGATTGTATACTAAATTTTCGTTGCCTCTTCTTTTCCAGGTTAGGGGGGAAGGTCTTCAGAAATCCCCAATGCAAGCATGATGCAAAAGATGCAGGTCTACAACATCATTTGAGTTGACACAACTTCAACTTCAGGTTCGTCGGCGTGGCTTCACGGAGATGGACACTCAACTGGCGGAAAGACACACAATCACACCCCTCCCTTGGGAAAGGTTCCTGTTTGGAGCAGGGAAGGCAAAGGGCCATTTCTGGCCATCGGGAGTCCTGGCTGTTGACTTTGCTAATAGAAACCCTCTGTATAAACAGGGAGGGCATCCAACTGAGATCAGAGCTCTTTTCTCTTTCAAGGAAATTAAACATCTCAAACATTTGGGAACACACGCCCACCCCCCCACCCCCCCGGACAGTAATTAACTTCTTCCTGTTCTGTGCACAGCCCGGTTTTCCAAAAACAGGAGTAGAGATGGATTATTTTTCAAAGGAAGTGTTTTCGAAAGCCTCTCCTGTTGTGTCCTAAGGCTGGGGTGGTGGTGGTGGTGGTAGGGAAACAGTCCTGGTGACCTAGGAAGTCCAGGCGAGGGACGCCTGTATCCATCCTGGATGTCCAAAGGCCTCGGTTGTGTACTCAAAGGGCACTGAAGCTTAGCCGAAGCCAGCTAAGTGTGTGTCAGGGTATGGCACTTTTCTCTGAAACCAGAAGCGATGGGGAAGAGCCTCAGAACTAACCAAAGGGATCCTTTTTACAGGAGTTATCACTGAGCTTCAAAAGTGTCATGTCTCTCATTGTTAGATGGCAGCTTCCACATTGGTGAGGCACGGAATATACCCCAGGGTTTTTTAGACCAAACTCTAAGGAATGAATCAAGGTGCTGAACTCTCTATCCAAAATTCCATGTTGCCATGTTTGCCTTTAAAGTGCGGACTAAAACCCAGAACAGATTCCTCCATGGCAGGCATCACTGAGCTTCAAAAGCACAGTGTCTCTCGTCGTGAGATGGCAATACCCACATTGGTGGATTCCAAAACAACCCCAAGTTTTAGACCAAATTCTAAAGGAACTAACCAAGGTGCTGAACCCTATATCCCAAATTCTGTGTTGACATCTCCTTTAAAGTTTGGAGAAAAACCCAGAACGGATTCGCTAAATTCCTGCAAGGCAGCATCATTGAGCTTTAAAAGCATGGTGTCTCTCATTGTTAGATGGTCATTCCCACACTGGTGGATTGCAGAATACACCCCAGGTTTTAGACCAAATTCTAAAGGAACTAACCATGGTGCTGAGCCCTATATCCCCAATTCCATGTCGCCATCTCTTTTAAAGTTTGGACAAAAAACCAGAATAGATTCACTGAATTCCTGCATAGCAGGGGTTTGATCTGGATGACCCTTGTGGTCTCTTCCAGAACCATAATTCTATGATTCTGTGACATAGGAGCATCCACCACTGATATCATCTTATTGGTTTCTGGGTAATCCCGGTTAGAAACGGCAACAAAAAGTTGCCGTGTGAAATGCTTCTTTCTATTTGGGGCTCCATCCGTCTTATTCCATCCCTGTCCTCTCTTTGTTTGAGACATCCCTCCGCTTCAAAGAGTCAGTTACTGTAACCATAATTTTTAAAAAGGGAAAGAAACAGAAACTAGAATAGGAGCAAGGCTCCTTTGTGCAACCGGAGCTTAGATCTCGGGGAAAGTCAAGTTGCATTGTGTAGTTTTTAAAAGCGAGTCTTGCCAATGGCTCTTCCCTAGTTGTTTGCTTTCTTCATCCTCACAGGGCATCTTGTGTTCCCAGGGCCTTCGGGCAGTTTGCTCCGCTCTCTGCCATCTGCCATTGCAATTTCCCATCGAGTCTTTTCCTCATACAGGAATAGAGTTTCAAGCCATTGTAAAAGAAGGCAGGACAAGGGAAACCCAACCTGCCCAGGCTGCATAGAGAGAAGCCTATATAGGACAATGTAGACATTGCTGAGCATTCAGGGGACTGTTAATATATCCATTAGCCGGCATCGTATTAAAAAGAGATGAAGTGTATCCTCACTCACTCTGTCCTGAAAGGGACATTAGAGC